AAAATCAAGAGTTTGAGTAATAAATGTTTGTGCACAAGTATGATAATCATAAAACAACATAACAGTTAAAAACCAATCAGTAAGAAAAATCTCCCTTGTATATAAAATAAAAGGTGACTACTAAAATCTTCAAGGTTAATTATGGAAAAAACAAGAAGAAGAAAAAACTTACTTTATTCGCCAATGTTCGCACGCTTCATGTGCCGAATTGGGGACGGCATCTTGCTTAGCATTTTCTTTTTCATGATTCAAGCCAACTTTCGACTTATATTTTTTCTTGTACTTACTTCTTATTGAGGACAGACCATCTTGTGCAGTAAATGGAGGAGAGAAATACGAATCATTCTCTCCATAGTCAGATTTTTCCAAGTGCTCAGAAGAAGCATCTTTCTCGTTCAGAGTAAATATTCCTTTTACTCCAGCAGAACTCGTATCAGCCTCTGTTTCACCACGAGCATTCGAGTTCTGATAAGGCGAAAAATCCATGGGTGAACCAAAGCCAGGAGATTCTTGATTTTGCACGGAATTGCTTTCTTTAGTGACACGGTCCTGGCCAAACAACTGCTGGACCACCGTATTTGGTCTCGATTTTCCGGTTTTCTTCTTCAATCGATTGCCCCTCAACGATTTACTATTTGCACTGTTGAAATTTGTACCTAAGCCGGGCAAAAAATTGTAGGTTGGAATGGAAAATGTCGTATTTGGCGTGCCAAAACATGCGTTAAACGAGCCTAATCCAGCTGGTTTGGTTGCAAAACTCTTGCTGTTTGGTTCAGAATTAATCTCTGAAGAGCAAAAAACATATGGACCCTTCTCGTTCATGGTTTGATTCTCCTTTCCCGTACCAGAAATCTTCTCATCTCTCCCAAAAACAAACACATTGTTCCCGTTCACTGAGAAATTACTAGTTAAGCTTTCAGTCTTCTTTGTTTTTGCTTCAGAAGCATTAATGTTCAATCCCTTCAAAGCATCTGATAAACCAAATGCAGGACCTTCCTCAGAAAAGCCACTCGGATTAATATTCTTCTGAAATTTTGAATTCATTACACTAGAATCATTATTCTTGAAGAGATTTTTGCAACTATCAGCACCCGAACTAAATCGAAACTTGAAGCCTCGATTATCGACATTTTCAGAATCTTGTTTTCGTGCATCTGGATTAATCGAGGACCACGGGTTTGTACGGGCACTAAATACAAACTCCGAGCTACTCACTTCTTGAAACTCATCAACACTCGAGTTTGAACAAGGCTTAAACGAATCTTGTTGGCTTAATGGCACACGTACATTCGGATTATTGGATTTCTTGAATCCATCAACTCTCAAACGCGCCTTAAATCGTCCAGAGTCTTTGGCTACGAAATTCGAATTCCGGCCAGGATTGCTCGTACCAATCACAAATGCAAACTGACTACTCTCCAAATCTGTATAAACCGGAATGCCAGTTCGGCTCGGACCAAACACAGGAGCTTCATCCGGCAAATTCTGATTGGCAGTTGAATCATCACTACAATCTCCACTCACCTGACTTTCATCTTCCTTCCCTTCGTTCAGTTTTGCACCGTCATTATCACCAAAAGCAAACACAAAACTCTCAGTTTTTTCCTTCATATCCGAAATCGAGCCGCCCTTCGTGGATGAAACAGACACGCCGCCGTCAGACGAAGACAAAAAATCGATCTTTACGGATTTTCCGTATCTGGGGTGCGACATTTCTTTCCTTCTCAGCTTCGTGAGCCTAGGCCTGGTCCGATTCGAGGAGATCGACTTTCCGCCGCCGCCGGAGCCAGAAACAAATTCCAGCTTCTCTGAGTTTTGGGTTGAAGGGAGATTGGGATTGGGGAAATCGAAAAGGGGGTGCGGGGAAATGATCGGCGGCGACATTGGAAGCTAGGGTTCCGGCGGGATGGTGAATTTTGTATCTATTGTAGAAAATGATATGTGAAAAATTGGGGGAGAAAAAACAAATAGAAGGGGTTTGGAAGTGAGATGGAAGAGTATATTTGACGGGTTTTATTAGTTACAGTATTTGAATTGGTTGATTTGAACGTTGATGCTCCTAGTGTAGCGGCATGTTTGACTTTAAATATTTAAACATTTAAACGAAGTTAGTCGGTTCGTGTTTGTTTGGGCTCGTTGAAAGCTCGTTTAGTTAATAAATTTTTTTTTTTTTTAATAAAGTTAATAAGTTGAACTGAACTCGACTTGTTAAAGCTCGAAATAATATATTTTTATTTTTTTTTTACTTCGACACGTTAAAATTCGAACTCGACTCGTTAAAGACACGTTAGATCTAAGACGTATAATTGTTTAAGCCTTAAGCTGTCTACCTNTATTTCTTATATTAATTTTATGTTTAACCAAATACAATCTTGATTTAGTGTTTTTCCTTTTTGCACTTTTACAAAATAATATAATATACAAAGAATCAAAATTTCATTAACAATCATATTACATGTAATTTCATGTTTCTTTAAAGTGAAAATGTTACTTGTCTAAAATCTATCTGTTATCGCATTTTTCATTTTTACCCAATTCCAACCTAATGATTATGCTCTCAAATTAATTTTGCTAGGGTAAAAGATTTAATGTGAAAATGAACCTATAAAGATAAAAATTGTCTCATTTCTAAATAACCTTTTGGAACCCAAAATTTGAAACCCTTTCATCCAATTAACACACAAGAAAATTGAAAACAAAAAGGATTTGAAAAAAGAAAAAACTTGATAACTCACACAACTAGTTTTACCCGCGCATTTGCACGAAATACTATATCATATAAGAGAAAGTAATTAAAAATATAAAAATAAAATAAAAATCATACAGGAAAAAAATAATTTTAAATAGCGATTAAATACTTCTTTATATACAATATTCATAGTTTTCATATCGTTATAATTTCATCACAACAAATCATTATCGTTAAACCTCTTCGACTTGTGACTCTGAAATTTGATTTTTCAAAATATTTGATGTATCTTTGTAATATCCGAAAATATTTTTTTCATTATTGTATGACTGCAATAGAAAATGGAGATATTTATAGTCATTCTTAATCAGTTGTGGAATATATATTTATATAATATCAAAAAATATATAGTATTAATATAAAAATAAAAATATTTTGTATTTCAAGACATAAAAAGGCGTTACAAAAATTGGCACCATCCAAAATATGACATGTCAAAATAAATTGTGTAACTTAAAGTTACATATAATTATGAAATGGTGAATATATTTTTATTAAATGAACACTTATTTTTATTAAATGAACTCATATTATTATTAATTGCTGGCTAAATTAAATTTATTGAAATTTGCCAGTAATTATATATACTAGTAATCAACCTGTGCATTTGCACAGAGGAGAATACTTAGAAAAGACAACAATATAAAAAGAAAAAAAAACAGATAATCATAATTTAATTCATGAAAAAAAAAATGTGAATTAAAAAATAATTCTAAATATTATTAAACACTTGCATTATTAAACATTTAGGTCGAAATTATCTACTGAACAAATATATTGCATTATAAATAGTTGTTGAATTGGGATGGATAATATATTAAAAAAATGTGGTGAATTCGACTTAAGTTTTTATTAAAAAACTTGTAAGGGTGACTTGGATCGATTTCTCAGTAAGCCTCTTTGTTTAATGAGTCCGATTTAGTAAAGTCCAAAGAAAATAATATTTCAAATTAAACCCAATACACATTGTTTTGAAAAAAAAAAAAAAGAATCAGGTAACCGATTACCACAAAATGCGTTACAAAACCATCGACTTAANCGGATCACGCGTTTTTTCTGTGTAAAAAATATCCAAGATCTCATTTTTCAAAATTATTGGAGGAAAAGAAAAAAAAAAAAGCAAGTATAGATATAAATGCACGATTTTAGCTAACATTCATGCAATTAATAGACTGATTAGGTGATGTAAGAAAATTTGTAAAAAATATATTAATATTATAATATTTGTAACTGCTTTAGGTGGGAACATAAAGTAATATAATTAAATGATGAAAATTTAGTCGGGATAATATAATTAAATGCAAGATAATATAATTTAATGCTTTGTTGCTCCAAATTATATACATATAAATATAGATATAGATATAGTAATCAACATGTGCATTTTAACAGAGAAGAATACTTAAAAAAGATAACAATATAAACAAAAATCATAATTAAATTCATGAAAAAAAATATGAATTAAGAAAATGCTTCTCAATATTGATTTTGATCAAGTAATTGCTACGGAAGAGCCGTTACAACAATTTTCTTTATGCTAATACATTCGACCATTTAATGAGTGGTTGTGGCTTAGAATTTGAGTTCAATTTTGTAACACCCTTGATTGATTTATGCTCATAATTTATGCATTCAAACAAGTTATTTTGTAACTTAAAAATGAAATTAAATGTTAAAATTTTGAAGGGATAATAAAATTTAATGCATGATAATATAATTTAATGCTTTGTTGCTCCTCTTTATATATATACTAGTAATCAACCTGTGCATTTGCATAAAGAAGAATACTTTAAAAAGATAACAATATAAAAAAAAATCATAATTTAATTCATGAAAAAAAAAATATGAATTAAGAAAATAATTCTCAAAATTTATTTTGATCAAATAATTGCTATGGAATGACTTAAAATTTGAGTACAATTTTGTAACTCCCTTGATTGGGTTATACTCATAATTTATGACATTCAAGCAAGTTATTTTATAATCTAAAAATAAAATTAAATGCTGAAAATTTTGGAGAAAAAATAAAATTTAATGCATGATAATAAAATTAAATGCTTTGTTGCTCCTCTTTACATATATATATATATATATATATTAGAATACAATCAATCATAGCAATGCATACAATTAAAAATAGCGGTTCTCACGGTTCTCACGCTAGGACTTAGTTCTCATTTGAATCAAATCCTATATATATATATATATATATATATATATAGCACCAATTATAGCAATTCTCAAAGATTCTTTTTCTTCCGACATCATCTCCCATAAACCAAAGGTCGGTGGCGACGCACGCCACGTGTCCCCAACACGCTAGCTGATTAAGAAACCACCAATCCCTATAGAGCGTGGCCAATAAACCCAGAAAAACCGAAGAGTTTTTACTTAGTTCCCACGAACTGTTTTGGGCGTTAATGTAAGTGGGTAATTTTCTTTCTAATGTTTGTGTTATGCAAATTTGCCGTTATTCCCAGACATAGGATAAAGTTGCATCTTTTCCCCCTTATGATTTGATTAGTTTTGTTTTGTTTTCGTGTTAGAGAATGTTTTCTTGAACCATGGCACAGATTGTTATTGGGGGTGCTCAAATGTTTGCTGTTTTAGCTAATGACCCGTTTGTGTGATTTGTGTTTTGTTCTCATTCTTTGCAAAGAATTCCCCTTCACAAGTACGGGTTAAAGTTTTGTTTATGTAAATTGTTGCTCATTCAGGTTAAAGTTGGTAATTTTGCCGTTATTCCCAATCATTGGATAAAGTTGCAATTTTTGCCCCCTTTTGATTTGATTACTTCTGTTTTTTCGTGCCGTCGAGAAAAAAGTTTTCTTGAGCCATAGCTGATTGTTTAAATGGGGTGCTTAAATGTTTGCTCACTGTGTTAGTTAATAACCCTTTCGTGTAATTTGTGTTTTGGGCTCAATCAGTACAAAGAATTCAACTTCCCCAGGTACAGGTTAAAGTTATGTTTATGCAAATCATTGCTCTTTCAGGTTAAAGTGGGTAGTTTTCTTTCTCATGTTTGAGTTATGCAAAAATTGCCGCAACTCCCAAGTCATCGGATAAAGTTGCAATCTTTGGCCCCTTTTGATTTGATTAGTTCTGTTTTCGTGTTCTTTAGAAAAAAGTTTTCTTGAGCCATGGCAGATTGTTTAAATGGGGTGCTTAAATGCTTGCTCACTGTGTTAGTTAATGACCTGTTTATGTAATTTGTGTTTTGGACTCAACAAGTACAAAGAATTCAACTTTCCCAGGTACATGCTGAAGTTTTGTCTATGCAAATCATTACTTATTCAGGTTGGCCATTAACGAGTATTTTGCTAGCTATGTGACCTGAAAGAAAAAAATTAAGTATGTTGTGAAGGATTTTGATGGTCTATGCTGCCAATTGCTGAGTTGTATAGCTTCTTATTTGTCAATATGTTATCTCTCCTTACTGTCATGTTAGCTTTAATGGAAAGCCACCATTGTAGATTGAGAAGTTATTTACAAAGTGGCGTTCGACCGATCAAATAAAGAGACACATTCGACCGATCAAATAAAGAGACACATGTATAAATTTACAAATCAGTAATGGAGTCTGAGTCTTCGGAAAATAGACAAGGTATTTAGTAGCCTTTTCTCGATTTTTTGTCCTTTGCTTAATTTCACACTTGTCGGTATGCATTTTTAAGTTCATCAAGTCTTTCGCGAGTTGGTGCAAGTATGAAAATCTGTCGTGTAGAAATTCATCTGCATGAAAGTGTAATAACCAGTTGTTTNAGCTAGCTCGTTAATTATTGGAAAATGTACTCTAGATAAATCTAACTGCACTAATAAGTTTCCTCTGTTTTCTCCGTATCTTTATGAAGGTCGGTAACTTGTTGAGTATTGGAATTTCGGAATGTTACGCGTGAACTGTGAAATTACTGCTTTTCGTCATATGCTTAACGACTCCAAATGCATTTAGAATTATCTCACTTTCTAAGATAATTTCATAACTTTCCCTAAGTAAATCTCAACTCAACCATTTTTCACATCACGAAATTCGAACCAATCCTCATTTCTCAACATAGGTAAGACTAACGGCAGCAAGACGAATGACGTATTGACACCTGGACAACACACACTCGGAGAAGTTAACATGGAAGCCACTATCACAGCCGATGACATCATGCTTGCCGGAGGATTCGGAGCCACCGATAGCCTCAGCAGTATACTTCCGGTCGCGAGTGATTTCACAGATTTCGAAGGCCATCTTCTTGAGGCTCGGGATTATGAAAACAATCCAGAAGGCAAAGAAGAAATTGGCTCTTCCGAAGAGAAAAATGCATTTGGGGAAGTAAATATGGAAGCTTCTATTACGCCTGATGAAGTTACTCGAGCTGGGGGCTATGGAGCTAAGGATGATATAAGTAGCTTTCTACCAGTCGCGAGCGATTTTACTGATTTTGAGGCTAATCTGCGTGGTGCTCGTGAATATGAGGATTTTTTAAATGAGGAAATTCATCGTCCGGGACTTGGGTGGAGTAGCGAAACTAAATGAAATGTGGGTCGAAATCGATTAGCATTGCCATTGTTAAGTTTTAAAAGGCTTTAAAAGTTCATGACTTGCTGGATTTTATGGTCTTTTAATTTGGATTTGAGTGGTAAGTTTGTTTAGTGACTCTTTTGTTTGTTATGATCTGATAATCTATTTCAGCTACCAAAATTTGTTGTTATTTTAGTAGGTCGGTCTAATGGTTAGGCCGCATAACACAAAACCAACTAGGGGACTACTCAAATTGCCTAACGTTGACAGAGAAAATCATGATTGGTAATAAGAATAATAAATTACAATTTTCTTAACACAACTCCTAAAGAGAGTATATATATATATGGGCACAACATGTGGTGTTTCCACAAACTGTAATTCAGATTTCAGACACATACTTTATGTAATTCCGAAANCACATTCCGAAAGCCTATGATGACTCGACAGATTCTGATGACTTTAGCTTCTTTGGTGGAGGATTACCACCGGATAACACCACGTAGGAATAGAAGGTGAGCATTGCAGCACTGTTTAAATAAAAAAAAAACATCTAATTGATGAATGTAAAAGTAACTTAGAAATATGGAATAGTTTCACCACATAGGAAAAAAAAAAGGTGAAGGTAAAATGGTTAAAAATCACGTTGTTGTACCTGATGACAATACTAAAGCCCGTTGGGAAGAGCTTTTTTGTCTGAGATAATGTGAAATGTTTTATCCGATTAATGGTGGAACAGAGAATGCAGCAGGTGAAAAACGATAATTTTTAGAAATTTAGTCTATTTACCAATGAATAGGCTTCAAAATTCTTCCGAAGTAGGGCGATTGACAGTACTGCATTGTCAGAGACTCGGAACATAAAACTACAGAATATATTGAATAAAGGAAACTGAAAAAAAAAAAGGAGATAAAAATGTGATAATTGTTGATTACTTGAGAACTAATTTCTGTATTGTGTTACAGATTATATTGAGTAAGTTCGAAAATTGTCTTGGCTCTAGATCTAACTATTTCGAAATCTGAAAACTGTTGGTGTAAATCTAATCCCCTGTTTTTCAAGACTCAAGACAATACTAAGTGTTTCAAGCTTTCAGGCAGATACAGTTGGAAGCATCTAACTTTAAGGCTTTGTTCAGAAAAAAACAATAACCTCACAGCCTCACTATATTTTCAGAACAGGAAAAAAAAAAAAGAAAAAAGAATAATCACCTGCTTGACCCAATATAAATGGTAAGCTGGATTTTCCTTGTCTCCAGACCTTCAAACTAATAGTGCTAAGTGCCAGCAAAGCACCTCCGTAGAGCAAACCGGTCCTTAAAGAAACAGGGTTTCTTGTGAAAATAAAGCCAAGTAGTCCACCACTTAGCACAAGTCCACCTATGAAAGAAATAATCTTATTTAATTGACCAAATTTTTTTGGGACTTAATATGAGCATTGTCAATATAAAATAGACTTGGCAAGAGTATGAATATATGGTAAATCATAATGAAGAAATATCAGTAAGCAACTTACAATTTCACCTTTCAGCACTAGTATGAGACTAACCATGTGACATTTGAGTCCAGTCAAGATTCATTTTGCAAAGTTTTGCAAACTCCATTTTAAGAAAGTATATTGATTGGTCTATGATTCAAATGCTTTTTTTCATCTTTATTCTGATTTTTCCTTTTTATTTGGGGACTGAAGTGAGGTGAGGGATCAAGTTCAAGTGTAGTAAATGCTCATGCTTAAAAAAAAGTGATATTTAAGGGCGTAGGATCTAGAATTTTCCGGAAGCTTCTTGCTCATACCTCTCATTAAATGGAAGATAGTCTCTCCTCTCCATGAAAACAACCAAATATAAAAACAATTTAGTCCAAGCTAAAAAATATATTCCAAACAATTTATTCCAAACTAAACAATTCTTGAGTGCACCTAGAAACAGAAAGTGCTGATCGATAATGTTAGAAGTCCAGGATATAGAATCAAAGAACGAGAAGGATACTCCCATTTCTCCAGGAAAAAAAAAACACTCACCAAAGGGGATTCCAAAACAAAAATCGTGAATCTTAGCTGCCCTTTTAGGCTGGCTGATGAGTACCTCCGATGTGTGCCCATTTGATGCTCCAATTACAGAACCTTCTGTGAGAGGCTCTGATTCTCTTGAAGTTCCACTATGTGACTTTAATTCATTTTTTTCCAAATTGGATACATTCAAGCTATGTCCATCACTACTCATAACATTTAGCACCTGGAGATAGAATTTTCATCAAGAAATAGCACAAATCATGACAGCTATATATATACACAACCATTTTAAGATGCATAGGCAACTATGTTAAAAACTAATCAAGTAGCTCAATAGTCGACTTGGAATTGACACATAGGAAATGAGCAAAGATGAACTCATTTTCTGACCTCAATACAAGAGAAAACGAGAAATCAGGTGTTAAGTGTGTAATATTAACTTCTTAATCTTATTGTCCTTACATCAACATTTGTTATCTTCATTAATCTTGGGATTACATCATCTTAGTATTTTAACCAGCATTTGGAGCCCGGTAATTGCTGGTAAATTTTAGCAAGAAGCGGGTTGTTGTATTGGGATATCTCCACAGTCAATACACAGTTTACTTGCACCATTTCCAGCACTACAATATGGAGCAGTCGCAATTATTGGAAAGGTAATAGCATTTCTTTTTTCTAGTTACCTCTTTATAAAAAAATTATGTTTAAATCTCATCGTCACATTGCACATTTTAAAATTTTGCTATGTCCACCGCCAGACAATTTTATAGAGTCCCATTTGGTAAATTCAAATCAAGCCACATAAAAAAACAAATCTTAGGTTCATATCTTAATATTTCACACAATTTTTTTTTTTAAAAAATGTAACGCAACATTGACAAGGATTCAATTTGCTTAGATACTTATGGCTTGTATTAGAACAATTCACTAAATGAGCTTCAATTTCATTAGCAGGTTTACTTCAACCTCAGAGCTCTTATAACTGCAATACATAAAGCTCAGATTTACTACAAATTCGATCAACAATTTCTATGTTGTAATCTTTACCAAAAGTCACACCGCAAAGGCAATTGAAGCAAAAAGATCGTAATTTTCTCATTACAGCTAACAGAGAAATTGACGAANAAAAAAAAAAAAAAAATAGTAATAACTTACACATCCAATCCACAGAATAAAACCACTGCATAACACAAGTTCATCTCTTCATTGTTCCCATAATCTTAAGAACTCAAACTCCACGACCTAAAAAAATGCATCCTTTGCGTGGAAAAACAAAAGGAATGAAAACACACAGTTAAACTAAGAAAATACTGATATCTTACCACCCGCCGTGAATGAAATGAAATCAAATCAACCAAAACCCTAATCAGACAACAACTACATATCTCACAATCTCAGGGCTCCATAAGATAGAACTTTAATTAAAAATAAATAATTAATTAAAGAATGCATTACAGCATTACAAATTACCTTTACGGAACGAAAGCCGGCAGGGAGCGAGTACGATCTGGATTTGTACGGCAATAGACGGCTGCTAATTGTGGAAGAGAAACACGACATCTGAGCAATCGCCGACGGCATTATATCTGCTGATTCTTGAATATAACTGATCTTCTTTTTTCTTTTTTGCTGTTCTGCAATTTTTGGAATTTCAACGAGGAGCTGTTGATGGTGATGGTGGCGACCAACGAAGAAAATGAAGAAGAAATAAAAGCAACTCGTGGGCTGTGATCAGAGTCTTGACATTTTTTTTTTTAAGTTAATTTATTTTTAAACCTTTCACTAGTACGACACCCCGTGCACTAGACGGGTTGTTTAATAAAAATATATAAAAAATAAAATAATAGAAAAAAACACATGTTGGTGTATAACTATTTCAACTCTTTAAAATATATTAAAAAAATATGTAATATTCTATAATTATTTCAATGTATTTTTATAGATATTCCAAAAAGATTTAAATAATTTATTCACCATGGTTGGATTGAGAACATATAATATGCAAGTGGCTATGTGTCCAATTTATTTTTGTAAAATTATAGTATTTTTTTTAATTTAAACTATATAAAAAAGTTATTATTTACATTAATTATATAAATAAAATAATATATAAAGCTAGATTTTTTATTTTGGTATTTCTTGAATTACGTCTAAATTTTTATTATAATATTAAGCAAAAAATTTTATTTACACAGTATATAAGATAAGAATTTATTTACATGCTATATAAGATAAGAATCTATTTACACGGTATATAAGATAAGGATCCTATTTGGTATATAAGATAAGAATCTATTTACACGGTATATAAGATTTTGTAGTTGAAGGATTTATACCACATATAAGAATTCTATTTATTTTGGAGTTGGAGGGATCAGATTATATAAGATAACACGGTATATAAGATTTTGTAGTTGAAGGGAGTTGGAGGGATCAGATTAAGCAAAAATTCTATTTATTAATTATTTTATTTGAAAGAATTAGGGAATGTATCCGAACCAAAATCGAAGAATGTAATGTTGCCAAGTAAGCTTCCGAAGTGTGCGAAGCAGCCATTTAGGCTTAGCACGTTTTCAAATTAATTATATTAAGAGGGAATTTGTTTTTTCTGCGTTGAGGGAACAGTGAAGGTATGTTTGGTTGAACATAAGCATCATTAAATTGGGGGTCTTTTNCCTCTAACATAACATTCGAATTACAAATAGAGCCATTCAAGCTGTTCAACAGGTGTAGTACCGATTTAAGAGAAGTAGTACAAACAATGTGTTGCCAGCCTTCATCCACAGCCTTTTCTAACACCCATCTAATTGCCAGCAAAACAGCATTCTCATGTTGATACCACCCCTGCCAAACAGCTTTCCATTCATGCACCAGTCGACCCTCTGTATATACAGCAGCTCCCAATCCAATTTGCCCTGAAGAAAAGCCATGAGCACTGACAGACAACAGAAACTGCCCTACTCCATTGGAAAAATGGTTCTTCTCCATGCTTTGATCAGGAACTGTCTGCCCTCGAACTGTAGGATGCTTTTCCTTTGCTGCAATAAATTCTCTCATGGATTGCTTTGCCTGTGCCACCAAGATGATCTCTGACAGAGCCTCCTTCTCAAATTTCCATTTATTCCTTGAACACCAGAGTCTCCAGATGAGATATGCTGAGGTACAAATCCTGTCTTCCATTTCTTTAGTGTTTCTGGCAATACAAATGTCCATCCACCAGTTCTGAAAAGTGCATCCCTGCAACTCAAAAGCTTTCCATGAGATACCTACCAATTTCCAACAGAGTTGTGCTCTGGGACAAAGAAAAAGCACATGATTCAGATCCTCATTATCTTCACCACACATATCACACACAGTATCAACTGGCATCCCTCTCCTAGAAATTTGCAGATTTGTACTAAGAAAACCATGATAGCATCTCCATAGAAAATTTCTGATCTTCCCCTGAATAGGTAACCCCCAAGTTCTCTTCCACATCTTCTGATGATTCACTGTGCCAGAACAAGAACTACCCTGGGAATTCTGAGTTAAAAACTTGTTCATAATAGCCTCATAAGCTAATTTTACTGAGAATAGGCCATTAGAGGAACAATGCCACACCCACTTATCTTTAATCCCCATATGACTAATAGGAATTTTTAGAATAGCTTCAGCTTCAAAAGGAGAAAAAGATTGAAATATAAGCTCTCTATCCCATCTCAACTCCCCCTTAACAAACAAATCACACACTCATCTAAACCTATCTCTATCCCCTTGAAATTGAACCTTGGGCTTAAAGTAAGGAAGCCCTGGAACCCAAGGGGTGTTCCACACCTGAGCAGACTTCTCATCCCCTATTTTAACCCTAGCACCAATCTTCAGAGAATCCCTAACCCTAAGCCAGCTTCTCCACATCCAAGAATCCCCATTTTTCACATCAACCTCAAATAAATTATGACTATGAAGATACCTACCCTTAATGATTCTGCTCATTAACAGATTTGGTTGAGTCAAAATTCTCCACAACTGTTTAACAAGTAAAGCATCATTGAACATACAAAGATCCCTAAACCCCAGCCCCCCTTTAACCTTCTTCCTAGCAAGTTTATCCCAAGATGCCCAATGAATCCTCTCTCTCCCCCCCTCTGATTTCCCCCACCAAAACCCAGCAGAATACTTACACATATCTTTACACACTGAGATAGGTAATTTAAAGCAAGACTTAGCATATATGGGAAGAGCTCCCAAGACAGACTTTATCAGCACTTCTTTGCCTGCTTCACTCAAAAAGGTATTCTTCCAATTATCCACTCTGTTTTTAACACACTCGCTCACATATTTGAAAGTATCCTTCTTAGACTTCCCTATCCCCAGAGGCAACCCTAAGTATTTAGCCGAGGAAACACAAGAAATATTACCCAAAGCCTGGCAAATAGCAAGTTTATCAAAATCACTGGAGTTTTTAGAGAAGAAGACAGAGGACTTATCAAAGTTGACCAATTGGCCAGAAGCTTCACCATACTTATTAAGAATATCAAGAACAACAAAAGCTTGCTCCTGGGAAGCTCTACAAAAAAGAATAGCATCATCTGCAAAGAAAAGGTGGGTCAGAACAGGAGAATGTTTGTTTAATTTCAGACCCAGAAAAGAAGCATTAAGAGAGGCTTGTTTAAGAAGATTAGAGAAGGCCTCAGAAAGCAAAATGAACAGATAAGGTGATAGGGGATCACCCTGTCTCAGTCCTCTAGAAGGCACAATAGAACCCAAGATTTGGCCATTGATATTAAAAGAAAAAGATGCTGAACTAATGCAAGCATAAATCCAAGCCAGAAACTTATTACAAAACCCCATATGACGACAAACTTTAATCAAAAAACCCCATTCTACCCTATCATAGGCCTTTGCCATATCAAGCTTGATAGCCATAAATTTATGATTGCCTTTTCTTTTGCTATTAAGAAAGTGGACAACCTCATTAGCAATAATAGTATTATCCAAAATTTGTCTCTGAGGGACAAAAGCAGACTGAGCTTCAGAGACACAAAAATTCAAAACAGGCTTAAGTCTATTGGCAAGAACCTTAGCTATCACTTTATAGGTGACAGTACACAAACTAATAGGTCTATAATCCTGAATTTTGGTAGGATTTTTCTTTTTTGGAATAAGAGTAATAATAGTATGGCCAGTGGCCCTAGGAAGTCTACCATAAGCAAAAAAATTCTTAATAGCTAGACACAGATAATCCTTAACAATACCCCAAGAATTCTGAAAAAATAAGGGGGACATTCCATCCACCCCAGGTGCTTTATTAGGGTGCATGTCCATCAAAGCTGCTTTGATTTCATCCTCTTCAACCTCCTTAGTCATTTCAAGATTCATATCCATAGTAATAGTTTCTGGTAAACCTCTCAAGCAACAATTATCCACAGTTGGATTAGATGTTTTGAGTAATGAATCAAAATACTTCATAACTTCAGTGACAATATCCTGATCAGATTGACATCTCCTCCAATCACCTCTTGTGAGGTTCTCAAGATTATTAATCACTCTTCTCTGCTTGACTGATGCGTGGAAGAACTTAGAGTTTTGATCCCCTTCCTTCAGCCACAACACCCTGGACTTCTGCTTCCAAAAACACTCTTCATCTCTATAAGCTTGGTCCAACTGATTTTTACAATTCTCCCACTCTGACCAATTCCTAAACCCACCAAGAGTCCCTAGATCAGCTAATTTCTCTTTGCAGACTTTAATAGCTTTAGCTGAATTAGATTTCAAAGAGGAATTCCAACTTAGCAAAGCCATTCTAACATTTCTAATCCTACCCTGCAAACTGTACATAGTAGGGCCCTCCACATGTTTATTCCAAGCTTCCTCCACAACCTGATCAAAACCTTCAACTTTCGTCCACCTAGAGTCAAAAGCAAACCTCCTGTTCTGCTTAGGGATAATGGGATCAGAATTTAAGAAGAGCATGCTGTGGTCAGAAGAAGATAAAGGAATAACCTTAACTAGGGCATTAGGGAAATGAAAGAGCCAGTCAGGGGAAACAAAAAACCTATCTAATTCGACTTCGACAAAATCCACACCCCTCCTATTGTTAGCCCAAGTAAAGGTATGACCAATAACTTTAGGCTCCAGAGCATTGAGACCTCTAACCAGGTCCCTGAAGTTACAAAAACTACTCTCCTCCCTAAGCCTACCCCCAGACTTATCAGAATTAGACAAAATATCGTTAAAATCCCCACACATAAACCAATACTTACCCCATCCAATACTATGTCTAATAAGAAAATTCCACTGCATAAGCCGAATAGAGATATCATTACTAGCATACAAGAAAATGCCCCACTGAATAATAGAATTACCCTCAACTGAAAATTGGACTTCCATACAAAAATCAAAACAGCTGAGACTCAAAATAGTTACCCTATTAGACCAGGATAGTAATAAGCCACCCCTAGTCCCAATAGGATCAACATAGCACCACCTATCAGCCAACTTTAACTTCCTACAAACAGTAATAACAAATTTACGTTTTTTCTTGGTTTCAGACAAAAAGAGAAAATCGGGGAGATGAGCTCGCAAAGACTCTCGCACTTGGGAAATTGTAGAGGGTCCTCCCAAACCTCTACAATTCCACACACAAACTCTCATTGACCACTTGGGGACCATTTATGGCTGGCCACCTCCACCTTATCACTGCACTCAACTTGGGAGATTTTATATTTTTTAGGGTCCAGTTGGAGATTCTGATCCTCAGAATCCTCTCTAAGACTCAGTGTTCTTTTGTTAGAAAGAACACCTATTTGGGGCATAGCTTGAGGAGAAACTGAGGTATCCACAATCATACCCTCTTGTTTATTGACTGTCCTATTTCTTCTAACAAAACCCTTTTGCTTCCTAGGACCCGTATGATCTGTCTGTCCCATGTGCACATCTACCTCTATTAGATTAGAGGGATTATGCTCAGGAACCTGACTAACCAAAGCAGAAGTTTTAATGCCAGGTCTATCCAACCCTTTTTCTAACTCAGTAGGGCTACTACCACTGGCTTCACCCACTGAGCCTAACTTAGAACAATGTTCAGAGTTATCAGCCATAGGCTTAACAACAGATGTACTAACCTTATCCCTCTTATCCCCCACAGCAGACAAAGGAGTCTGAATCTGTTCAGGAATAACCTCATTAGGTATATTCTCCTCAGAGCTAAATCTAGACACTCTAGACTCAAAAACAAAATTATTACTGGCTCTCAACCATTCCCCAAATTGACCCAGGTTAAGGTTATTACTAGCAACATCATCTTTCTTAATAGCACAGCCCTTATCTCCATGCCCTATCCTCCCACAGTAGAAACAAAAGGTCTGCAGATTCTCATATTTAAATTCCACCCAAGTACTCTCATTACCCAGTTTAATCTGAGTGCCCCTTAAAATAGGGTCCCCTAGCTGAATATCGACCAAAACCTTTAAGATCCTACCTTGGATATTGCTAGCTCCTGGAACCAGAACATCTATCACCTCACCCAACATCTTGCCTATCTTCATACCCACCTCTGCCGAAATCCAATGAAGTGGGAGGTTGTGTATCTGCACCCAAAGCTTCACCTTTTCTTCCTCAGTTGTAAACTCCAAGCACTTAGGTTGCCAATTTTTCAAGAGAAGATACTGGCCATCAAAAGTCCATGTCTTTCCCATCAGAATTCGTTCCTTGTCAGCTTCATTTTGAAAAACAAACTGAAAGAGGTTGGAACCCAAATTTCGGATGGAGAACTGTTGACGGGTAGTCCAGACATAATTGAGAGTAGACTTTAAGCCACTGAAATTCACCTTTTTCTCTCCATAAATCTTGCCTATAAGACTAAGACTACACTCCTGCAACCCCACTACAACATCATCATCTGATATCATTAACCCCTTTTCTTCTTTGTCCGAAAGAACAAATTTCTTCAATCTGTCTGCAATATCTTGCTCCATATCTCTAATCACTGAAGAACGACTAAGAAGGAATCCAAACCGAAACTGCGCAGCTCCAAAAGACGAAACACCCAATGAAAGCACCTCGAGAGCGAACAACCACAAACCCCAAAGAAAACCTAACCCCAACAAACAAGGAACACCTACCGCAGACCCAAACACAAGAAAGACCAAAGAGGAAAGAAGAAAAGCACAAAGAAATCCTAAAAAGGAACAAGAAATCCTAAAAAGGAACTAGGGTTCTCATAGAGAGAAGAAAATCCTAAGAAGGAACTTAATTGGGGGTCAAATATGTGCTTTTTCTCCTCTTTTGGGGCAAGTAAAATCGAGTAAAAAATAAAAATAAGGGCTCAACAGTTTACTTGCCCATTTACTCGAATTTGCTCAGCTCGCCCTTCCTAAATCTTAATCCGTTCGGCGGCTCACCATCTCAAATCGATAGAATCAGTCGACGGTAACCGGCATCTCAAATCTGAAATCGATAGGACCAGTCCGCGGCAATCGTCAATCGTCGTGCTCGATAGTTGGCGGCAGCTCGCCATCTCAAATCTCACACACATAGGAGGACTCGTGGGCAATCGCTCAGGGCTGGTAAGATATATTTAAACAATCCTCAAATATGGAGTTATGCTGTTATGGTGTTGATATTTTTTTCAAAAAATCCTCAAATCTCATTCATCCTGGTAAGCTATACTTCACAAATTTCTTTCACTTTCATAAAGTTATAACATTAACACTTTGGCCCCTCAGTTTTGAGACTGAATGGAACTCCATGTTTACCTTTTTTGTGATTTTGAAAGCTAGCTGAGTATTTCAGAATCAGTTATACTGGCTGCTGCCTGGTATTGGGTATGGAGTTATGCTGTTATGGTGTTGGTTTATTTGGCTCAAAACTGCTTCGGTACTTACGGTATAAAACCGGAACCGAACAAACCGAATTTTCGATAACGGACTACAAGTCGGTTCAGTTTCGGTTTTGTATTTTGCGGTTACCGAAACATTCAGTTCGATATCGGTAATAGCGTTACCTATCTAGTAGATATATGCATTGCATTCCCTTGTGGTGAACTATTAAGAGGCTAAGAATTCCTTTTTTATTTTGTTTTTTTCGACCCAGA